TTTTCTAGGTATAAGATCATATCATCAGCAAGCAGGGATAGTTTGACTTTTTTCTTACCAATTTAGATGCCTTTGATTTCCCTTCCTTGCCTTATTGTCCTGTCTAGGACTTCCAATACAATGTTCAATAGAAATGGTGAGAGAGGGCATCCTTGTCTGGTTCCTGTTCACAACGGGAATGGTTTCAGTCTCTCTCCATTGAGAATAATGTTGGCTGTTGGTTTTGCATATATACCTTTTATTATATTGAGGAATATCCCTTCTATTCCTAATTTGATAAGAGTTTTTATCAGGAATGGGTGTTGTATTTTATCAAATGCCTTTTCTGCATCAACTGATATGATCATGTTGTTCTTTCCTTTGTTTTATTTGTGTGGTAGATGATGTTGATTGTTTCCATCCTTGCATAACTGATATAAACCCCATTGGTCATGATGTATTATTTTTTGGATATGTTGTTGGAGTCTATTGGCTAGGACTTTGCTGAAAATTTTTGCATCTATATTCATGAGGGATATTGGTCTATAGTGATATCTTTGCCTAGTTTTGGTATCAAGGTTATACTTGCTTCATAAAATGAGATTCAGAGGATTCCATCCTTTTCTGTGTTCTGTAATAATTTGAGTAGGATTTGTGTCAGTTCTTCTCCGAATGCTTGGTAGAATTCTCCAGGGAAACTGTCTGGGCCAGGACTTTTTTTTGTTGGTAATTTTTTTATGACCTGTTCAATTTCTTCTTTTGTTATGTGTTTGTTCAACTTTTCCACCTCAGTCCATGCCAGTTTAGGTAAGTACTGTGTTTCTAGAAATCTGTCCATTTCTTCAAGATGTTCAAATTTGTTGGAGTATAGTTCTTCATAGTATCCTGATATTATCCTTTTATTTCAGTTGTTTCTGTTATGATGTCAACCACTTTGTTTCTTATTATGTTATTTGTATTCTCTCCTTCTTTTCCTTTGTTAAATTTGCCAGTGGTTTATCAATTTTATTAATGTGTTCAAAAAACCACCTTCTAGTCTTTTTTTTTTTTTCTATTGTCTGTTTTATTGATTTCTGCTTGAATTTTTCTTATTCCCTTTCTTCTGGTGACTGTAGGGTTTTTTGTTGTTCTTTTTCTAATTGTTGGAGATGTTGGTTTAAACTGATGATTTTGGCTCTTTTTTCTGTTTGGATGTGTGCATTAATTGCTACAAATTACCCACTCACCACTGCTTTTATTGTGTCCCAAAGATTTTGGTATGTTGGGTTTTCATTTTCCTTTGATTCAAGGAATTTATTTCATTTTTTTTTTATATTACCCAGTCATACTTAAGGAAGGTGTTGTTCAGTGTCCACGTGTTTGCTCTTTTTCCATTGATCTTCCTATTGTTTTCTAATTTTATAGCATTGTGATCTGAGAAGATGCTTTGCAGTACTTCAATGTTTGTAAATTTATTAAAGCCTTTTTATGGCCTAAAATATGGTGTATCATGAAGAATGTTCCATGTGCACGAAAAGAATGCATATTGTGTTGCTATTGGTTGAAGCGCTCTATAGATGTCTATAAGGTCAAGTTGGTGGATTGTATTGTTTAGTTCTTCTGCATCTTCATTGAGTTTCTTTCCAGTTGTTACGTCTTTCATTGAAAGTGGTGTATTAAAATCTCCTACTATGTCTGTGGAGTCATCTACTTTTCTTTTCAATTCTGTTAAAGTCTGATTTATGTATTTTGGAGCTGTTTCATTGGGTCCATAGATATTTATTATGGTTATGTCTTCTTGTTTGATTGATCCTTTAATTATTATATAACGTCCTTCCTTGTCTCTTATGGTGGTTTTTGTCTTAAAGTCAATTTTATCAGAAATGATATTTCTACTCCTGCTCTATTTTTTGGTTGCCATTTGCTTGATATATCTTTTTCCATCCTTTGATTTTTAGTCTATTTTTATTTTTGTCTCTAAGGTGTGTCACTTGTAGACAGCATATTGATGGGTTATGTTTTCTTATCCATTCTGCAACTCTCCATCTCTTGAGTGGTGTATTTAATCCATTGACATTCAGTGTAATTATTGACAAGTATGAATTTGTTGCTGTCATTTTGTTTTGTGTTTTCTCATGGTGTTCTTGGTTTCTTTGTTCTGTATAATTTTCTATGCTGAGCTCATTTTGTTTATGAATCATGTTACCACTTCCTTCATTGCTGTTGTTTTAGTATTTGCTAAATATTGTGCTTGCCCTCTTTTTTAATGTGATGTGAAGTTCATCATTTTTCTTTGAGGTTACACTGTGATTTATAATTTTCTTCCTGAGTTTAGAACAGTCCAGTCTATCTTGCAACTTTATTGACTTCCTCACCATTTAGAAGTTTTGTAACTACACTATTTTTCCCCTCATTTTGATTTATAGTTGTCCTCATTTACCAATTGATGTCTCTGGTTCCCTGTTTACAATCTTATAAGCTTATTTTACTTTGGATACTTCCATAACTGGGTTGTGTCTGTGTTATATCATCATGTGTATAAATGGTCAGTTGATGTTTGCTGTTACTGGTTCTCTGCAAAAGGCCTCCCTTTAGTATTTCTTGTAAGGTTGGTCCACTTTTAACAAATTCTCTTAATTTCTACTTATCTAAAAATCTCCTAATTTCATCAGCATATTGAGGGAAAATTTTTCTGGGTCTATAACTCTTGGTTGGAAATTTTTCTCTTTCAGGGTTTTATGTATATACCATCCCATTGCCTTCTCACCTGCATGGTTTCTGCTGAGAAATCTGAGCTAAGATTTCTTGGTTGCCCTTGTAGGTAACTTTTTGTTTTTCTCATGCAGCTTTCAGGATTCTTTCTTTGTCTTTGGTTTTAGTGAGTTTAAAGATGATATGTCTTGGTGATTTTCTTTTGGGGTCTATCCTGTTTGGAGTTCATTGACTTCATGAATGGATATATTCTTATCTTTCATCATATCAGGGAGGTTCTCTACCAACAAATCTTGGACAATTGTCTCTGTGGCTTTATTTTTCTCTTCCTGTTCTGGAATTCCAAATACATGTAGGTTATTCCTTTTGATGGTATCCTACATGGATCTTAGGCTTTCTTCATTTTGTTTTGATCTTTTTTTTCTGATTGATCCTTTTCCAAATAAGTATTGAGGTATTTGTCTTCAGTCTCATTAATTCTGTCTTCCATTGCATCGATTCTACTCCTTTGCCCTTTCAATATGTTATCTATTTCTGAAAATTTAGTATTAACCTTCTGGACTTCTATCTGTAGATTTTATATCATTTATAATTTTTCATGTATTTTGTCATTTTGTTCTTGCATTTTCTTCCAAAATTGTTCTACAATTTCATCTGTGTTTTCCTTAATTGTGTCAGTGTTTTCCTTGATCCATTGAATCCACTGAAGGTACATAAATATAATTTTTTTAAATTCCTTATTAGGGAGTTCCAATGCTGCTTCTTCCTCAGGCATGTGTTCTGGGTCTGTATCCTACTCCTTTATCTTGCTTCTTTGTGTGGACTGTAATGGTTTGTTTTCTCCGAGACATTGTGAGGTTGTTGAAAAACCATCAAAAAAGTAAAGGCAAGAGGACAAAAAGTACCACATAAACACACAGGAACAATCACCAAAAAGAAAAAAAGGAGAGAAAAAAAGAGGAAAGGCAATAAATTAGAGAAAATATTTGTATAAATACTTTTAAAAGACAAAAGAAATATGAATAGGAAAGGAAAAAAAAAACCCACAATATCTGAGGAGGGGGGAAAAAGAGAAAAGAGGTAGAGAAGGAGAATAGTGAAGGAAAAAATGCACAGGGAGACAGCTCAGGAGTGCATGGAGGGAAGGACACAGGGAAGAGGTAACTATGGGGAGGAAGTGGGGGGGGAACTGTTGCATTGTGGTAAATTGTAGTCAATGTCATGAGATAAAGTGTATATGAGATGCTGTATGGAAAGTGAATTTGCTCTGTAAACTTTCACCCAAATCACAATTAAAAGGAAAAAAAAAATGAGAAAAATGCAAAATGGACACAAGGAATAAGGAGAACCACAAGACAGAAAAAAAATGTGAGCCAGGAAAAGGGAAGAGAGAAAAAGCCAAAAACTGGAACCTGAGACAGGAAGAAGAAAGAATAATAATAAAATGAAAGGAAAAAGAAAAAGAAAAAAATAAAGTAATTAGAAAAAAAATCTGGGCAGGCAGGGCAGGGCACCCCAGTCTCTGTCAGAGCCACAGGCTGGGATGGAATTCCTGCTGGCCCAGAAGGTGGGTGGCAGTGAGGTGCAACCACATCTCCATTTATCAAGAGGATGTGAGGTGTAAGAGTATCAAGGGGAATATCACATCTTTCCAGACCTCAGTGTCTGGTATGTCCTTGCTGTCCCCAGCAAGTGGAGCCTATTCTTAGGTCCCTGGAATCTGAAAGAACACTGTCACTTTAAATATACAAAATGGTCGAACTGCTAGTAAACATTCAAAATGGCTGTGCCCTACCAACAGCCAAAAGTCCATAGCTCAGTTTGTCTCTTTCTTCGCTGTTTCCCCTTTTATTCTCCAGCTACCAGTGCAGTCTTCCATGCAATCCCTGCCTAGCAGGGCCAATTTTTAGGTTAATTCTTAAATTCTAATACCATTTGGGAATATCCAAACTGCCAGTGCGATCAGGATCGCTGACAGTTAGCAGCTCCATATGTCTCCTTTTTCAGTGTCTTCATGCAGATTATTCTACTAATTAAAGTTTAGTCCACTTCTGTATCCTTCCTTTCAAATCTTATCTTGTGTATCTGTGTTAATTGGTTCCTCTTTTGTTTGTTGAAGAAGGTCTATGTTTGTCTGACTATTCTGCCATCTTACTGGAATCAATATTCTTGTTGCATATTGAATAGATTTTGAAGAAAGATTATGTTGAGCCTCTGAAGTACTAAAATTTACCAAGGATAGCACTCTTTGGATCACCATATCAAACCAAATTAAAAGAAAATAATAACTGCTATTGTCAACATACTGGTAACTTCTGCTAACTTTATAGGTAGACAAGCAGCCCAAGTATGAATACAGCCTCTACATGTATATGTATTTTGTCATCTTTATCATCTTTGGATCATTCTTCACTTTGAACCTGTTCATTGGTGTCATCATTGATAATTTCAACCAACAGAAAAAGAAGATAAGTATTTCAAGTCTTTCTTCATCGTGCTAAAAAGAAAGGAACATTTATGTTTTGTGAAAATATAATTTGGCATTTAATTTGAGATCGATTATTAATTAGTCTCATTAGATTTATTTGTTCTTGAAATAATTGATTAATATACCACTACAGATATGCTTAATCTTACTATAATTTACTCAGAAAATAAATATTTCCAAATTTATGATTATTTTTAAATAATATATCAACCATTTAGCTTTTCTCCAATATTCCCTATAGAGACTTACATATTTGAGAAAAATCAATGCAGTAATTATTTTATTCAAAACAGATTTTAATACTTTATTCCATTCTGAGACCTGGCACTGTAGGGTAGAGAGAATATCTGTTGAGATTTTCATTTTATTAATCTTAACCATGAGAGGTATTTTATATTCAACTCTGTTTTACAAATGAGGAAATGACGGCACAAAGAGGGTAAGCAATTTACCTAAGATTATGCATCTAGTAAGTGATGGAATCAGTAGTTGATGTCATAAATCCTGTTTCTGTGGTCTATTCTTTTAGTTCCTCTGTTATTCTGTATCCCCAAATATCTATGATAGTGATAAGTACAGTAGCAAAGTTTAACAATAGCTAAAAACGTACATGGGCCATCAGAAAAAAACTAGATCCAGTTGAGGATATTCTAGAATGTTTCATGAAATACGTGACAATGGAGCAGACCTTGGAAGATGGGTAGGATGACATCTGCCAACTGGGTAGGAGAAGGATGGATTATCCACATGCAGGGGAAAAGAACTGTGTGAAAAATGCATGTCATTGATAAATAAATAAATATTTTTAGAGCATATATTTAAGGAGTAGCAATCCAGTTTAGATGGAGCTGAAGATGTGAGGAGAGAGATAATAGGAGATGAAGTTTCAGTCTGCTTGAGAACAGATATAAGATGCCATTTTAGACACTTTTTTTTCAGTATGAGCTGATGTGACTTTGAGGTGTTTTAAGGAAGGAACGACATATAAGCAAAACATTGCCATTAAGACCTGATGATGTGTCTGAAGCTGCATATAAAGTCCTTCACATATGTAACCTTGTCAAGTTTATGATAGACCTACAAGAAATAAGAATCTCCATTTAACCTCTCAGGCAAGTTACATTATTTGAACATGGTCTGATAGCTAGGAAGAAACTGCTTTGTATGCCTAACTTCAGAACAGATTTGTCTAGAGTATGAAATCAAGCTTTAGTAAAAATTTAATCTAGCAGTGATGCACAGAATGACTAGTAGAGAGGAGAGATCAAATGCTGGTTCAGATCTTGTTTTACCTGCTATCTGAACCATGATTGTGGTCATTGTATCTCTACGGAAGTAGATTGCCCAGTCTTCCTTTTGAGGAGTGGCTGGTGGGTTTGAACTGCCAGCCTTCTTGTTAGCAATCAAATGCCATAGGCATTACACCACCAGAGCTCCCAATTTATTACACATTTGCCATGCACTGGATATTATGGTAATACATGATTTGCATGTATTATCTCAATTGACCCCCTCAACAATGGCGTAGTTACTGTTGTAAAAATGAGGTGATGTATACCAAAAGAGATTCAGGAGCTTGATGAGTGTCTTAGTTCTCTGGTACTGCTATAACAGAAATACCACAAGTGGATGGCTTTAACAAACAGAAAATATTCCCCTACTAGGAGTCCGAGCTCAGAGTGCTGGCTCCAGGGGAAGACTAGACGAGAAGTCTGGGTTCAGAACGCTGGCTCTAGAGGCTTGGAGGAGGCCCCTCAACCTTGGGCTTCAGCTCTGCCTGCCAGGCCCACTGGAGCAAGCTAGAGGTTTCTCCTGACTCAAGCAGCTGCTAGCTGCTGAGGCTGATGAATGCAAGATCGACAGGCAAAATGGCAGATTGTTGGCTCACAGGCTGCAAAGGCAACAATCCCAATATCAGTAGTCAACACAAAAGGCCACTGGTTCAAGTCTAGGAACTAGGGATGATGACAGTCCAAATACAGGATCCCAAAATGAGCAAAATCTAGAAACCTTTCCCCCAGCTTCTGCATATATACTAGAAGCAGGCCACACCCTAAAGGCAACTCCCCTTCAACTAATTAGCTGCTCACACAGCAGATTCTACCATGGAGGCAATTACACCGCAGCTCTGGTAGCATAGTGCCTAAGGCACTTGACTGCT